AAACAAAGTGAATATGTGTTAGTTTTTAAAAGTATGGTTGTTTTTCTGATTTTGATTGTCAATTATTATTTTAAAATACTGGTGCTTTAATATAAGACAATTTGTTTTATTCCATTGAGAGACATTTAAGAGTCAGAATGAAAAAAATGGGTCATCATTTGTCACCACACTGAATTTAGTATAAATTCATTTTATTTATTCTTATTTCTTTGAAATGAAATTATCTGAGTTGAAGGCAAGTTTATAAAGTTAATAAATAGCATATTTCCACTATATCTTATGAATATCAATAAATTTATCACTCCCAAACCATACAGATCAATTCTAAAATGGACAATTTTGTCTGGCAGTTGAGAGCTTAATTTCTAGGTTCATATAGCTTTGATTCACTTCTTAGATCACTATAAATGCTATGTAACTCTCGTCTCTTTGCCTAACTTCCCTACTTTCATATATTAAAAAGAAGAAAAGAGTAATATACAATTCAGTATTTTATGAGAACTAAGTAAAAATGTTAATATATGCAAAACAGAATGGGTCAGCAAACACCAGTAGCTCAATAATCTTTGGCTATTATTATTACTATTATAATGTATATATATATATATATATGTGTGTGTGTGTGTGTGTATACATCTCTATATACATATATAATTGCTTTATCTATTACTTAACAGCATCTCATATTCACACTCTGCAGATGTAGCACACACATATTTAATTTATATTGACATAACTACCTAAAAACTTTGAGAACCAATTTCAAGATTGTTATTGTCCTGATAATTTCATTCTTAGTTCTTCATGAGTCCTCTCAGACATAGATTGCCACTGATTCAAATTTCTAAGTAAATATCTGCAAAATGATACATATGCAAATTATATTGTATATATGCAAAATAGAGTAGCATAAAGTAAAAAAGCCACCAAAGCCATCATTATTAAAGATATTATACTCACCTATTTGGAAATTATCAAAATTTAAATGAAATCTGAAACATACCTAGATGTCTATATAACATCAAACATCTGTTTGAATGCTTAAAATCTCAATTAAATATCTATATAGTTGGTTCATGATGCCATGTGTACAGGTGTTTGAAAAGTCTCAGTGATAGTTTGTTTTATGATTTGTGTCCAAACATAGGATAGTGACAAGCACAGGATATAAATTTTATGTATTTGTTCTTTTTTATTTTTTTTAATAGTCTAACTTTTAGTCTTGTGGAATCAGAAGAATGACTAAGGAAATCTGTGTTCTCAAAGAGCTTCCACTTCAGCAGAGGATCAGAGTTACACAAGATAACAAGTTTATAGCTGGAATAGAGTATCAACCAAATAAGGAAGTCATAAACAAGAAGAAGACATGGGATACAGAGAGATAGATGTAGAACAGGAGGAGGGAAGGAAAGGAAGATGAAAGGAATCCTAAGGTCCCATGTCAACTCTGCAGCAGGTGCAAAGACTACACACCAGGACTGACACAGTCTTCCAAGTAATTCCAAAGGAAAATGAAATAGGTAGAACTCCTAAAGTACTTGAACCATGGGATTAGTCATCTGATTGAGATTCTGTGGTTAGATTAGTGATGAGTAAACACTCACTGAAAGAATAAGCCAACAAACAAAACACAGGCAATTACTAACTCCAGGAAAATAGAAAGGGGAAAATAAATATGGTTTTCCCCATGGCTGGTTGTAAATAGCATTTCACAACTAATAAAATTAGTATATATAAATTTATATAAGGGGAGCAGGGCACTATGATGCATGCCTATAATCCCAGCCAGGAGGCTCATACAAGAGCATCACAAGTTCAAAGCCAGCTTCAGCAACTTAGCAAGGCCCTAAGCAACTTGGCCAGACCTGCCTCAAAATAAAAAATAAAATGAGCTGGGGATTTGGCTCATTGGTTACGTTCCCCAGGTTTCAATCCTCAGTACCAAAAAGAAAAAGAGAGAAAATTCTATCAGAGGAATGCTATGTGTGATAAGCATAAGAGAGAGAACGATATTTTGAACTTCTACAGTAGGAAGTCAATAAATGAAGGGCAAACGAAAAAAATAAAAAATTAAAAATCAGATGCTGAATAGTAAATGTAGTACGATATTTGTATTTATTTTTAAATGCTAAAAAAAGAATGACATCCTATTGGTGTGTGTGTATGTATGTGTGTGTGTGTGTGTGTGTGTGTGTGTATATATATATATATATATATATGACTCTATAGGTATATATAAAAACTTATAAAATCAGTTGAAAGAAAAAGAATCAAATTCATATGTGTGTTTTTTTTTTCTGTTGAGGGAAAAGAAAGGGGAATGGTATGGAGGTAATGTAATTTTATGTAATTAATATGTAATTTCTCATTTCTATTAAAAAATTGATAGAAACTGGTAGGATAAATAGATGTTTACTCTAGGAGGTTGACATAAGAGTGTTTTATTATTTTTGATTGTTCTTCTTTTATTTTTCCAAGTAAAAGTAGTATTTTTTAATGAGACATCTTTATAACCAGAACTTATAACTAGAATTTTACTAAGGGATATACAAAAAAGACTTGTATTAGTAGACTTGAACAAGATTTGTATATCAGTAATAGAGGCGATACCAATGAGCAAGGTAGGCTGTATTGTCCTGCTAAGTTTACTCCACAGTCAGATGTTCTAGAAAGTTCTTTATTTGCCTTAGGATCTTTGCAAATGTCAAAACTCATGCCCATGTCTGCCCCATCCCATTCCACCACTGCAGATACACACCTGCTCTTCACCCAGCTAACTCTCAGTCACCTATCAGATTCCATCTGAAATCTCTCTTCCTGGGAAAGCACTCCTGACTCTCCCAATCCCATCAAATCGGGAACTGCAATTCATTTGGGATTTTTTTGTCTGTGCCTTTCTCCCTAGCCTGCATTAACATTCCATGAGATAATTTTTCTACTGCTCAAAATGAAACCCTTGAAGTCACACTTGCTTGCCTTTTCTCTCACTTTCCGTCTTCAATTGTCAGCAAATCCTATTGTCTCCACCTTGAAAGTATGTCCAACCTACAGCTCTGTCCCTTGGTAACCACCTCCCACACCTGCCTCCTACAAATCCTTTTCCACCAAGCAGCCAGATGGGTTCTTTAGAAACTAAAGTCAAAAATACCATATCTGAGCTGGGATATAGCTCAGTGGCAGGGAGTTTGTCTAGCTAGCATGCAGAAAGTCCTGGTTGGATACCCAATACTTGAGGACAGTGGGACATGAATGGACTCTACTGTCTTTCAAGTCTCATCTCCAGTTGTTGGAGCTCAGAAAATGACACTCCAGGGAAGGGAAAGGGGAGGAGGTACTGAGGAATGAAATTGACCCAATTATGTTCTGTGCATCTATGCATATATGAATGTATGAATATGTGACAATGAATTCCACAAATGTGTGTAATTATGATGTACCAGTAAAATATTTTTAAAAGAAAAATATTTTTTAAAAAATAAAGAAAATGACACCCCAAATTATAGTGCTTCAGCAAGCTGAGTTCTTTGAACTAGAGACTTTGGAAATCCTCAGAAGCACACCAGAATTTCTTTTTCTCAAGGTGCACAATAAAAACTATAACCCCCTCAAAGCAAGTCACAACATCTAGACCTCTCTCCCTTCTTCCTTGAAGACTTAATTCCAACAGAGCGCTGCCCTATGCCCAGAAAAATGGACCACTGCATGGAATAACCAAGAAGAATCTGAGCAGAGAGACCTCACTGGGTTTCCCCACCTCAGTTACCATTAGATCAGACCATTTTTTAAATCACATTTATGCATAGCTGGCCATTCTTTAACAACCCTACATGAAAAATAGTTGTCCTCAGTACTGCATATAAATAAATAAATAATAAACGTACATCAACAACTAAAATATATTTTTTAAAATAACAGTTGTATCCAGGCATGATGGTGCACACCTATAATTCCAGCTACCTGGAAGGCTGAGGCAAGAAGATTGCATGTTTCAGGCCAATCTAGGGCATTTATAGACTGTCTCAAAATAAAAAAAGGACTGGGAGTGTAGCTCAGTGACAGAGTGCTTGCCTGTCATATATAAGGCCCTTGGCTCAATCCTAAAACTTTAAAAAGGACAGTTATCCGTTGGGTCTTTGGGTCCTCATTTCTGAATTCTCCTGTGTCATATAAAACTTCAGTTAAATGAGCTTGTTATGCTTTTTCTCTGGCTAATCTAACCTGTTATAAGAATGTTGGTCATGACCCTTATAATCTATGAGGAAAGGTATGATGCCTTTATCAAAAATTAGACTCAGACTCAATTAAAAAATCAGATCAAAGATACAGCAAATGGAACTTCTCCGACCAGAAAGCTGTTCAAAACCCAGCCTTGGTCTTGCTCTTTATTTACAAACTTCATTCTTATGAAAATTCTTTTTCTCTCCCACATTTTTTGTACTAAATTAGCACATACTAAATATTTATTAAGTGAAGGAATGATCCCACCACAGAATATATTTTAAAAGGAGATGTAAACCCATCAGGAAAAAAAATATATATATATATATATATATTTAGATTGATAGTCATTTTTAGTTCTTGTTCTTTCAAAATCACAATATACTTGGTAGGAAAATAAGAAAATGGTATTTGCCAAAAGATGAATTGAGGATGTGGTCTAGTCATCTTCTAGAACATTAAGCCAACCTAAACAGAAAGGTATTTTCAGCTTTGAAAAGTTGTTCATGCACATGCAGAATTATAAATGGCCTAATTTTCCTTATATCTCCATAATTAACAGAATAATTATTGATCAGCACAAAGCATAGAGTCTCTGGAGACATGATTTGTGTGAGTGCTTAGCTTTTTGAAAGCTTAAATCACTGTAGTCAGTATTAAAAAATGAATTGATAGTAAATGTGGTGTAATTAATCCACCTATTCTATTTGCACATGAAAATCTTTTCATGCTAAACATCTCATTCATTTAGGAAAGAATACAAATGTATTACAATGACGGAATGAAATATAAATTGGAACTTTTATTTCCCTGCAATATACCTTGTTTTTAATCTTCCCAGACTTTTCATAGGTTGTGCAAGTTTACAATATTTTTCAACTTTTATCTGCAAATGTCAGGTGCAAAGAATGGTCTGAGTGGAGCAGTCAAAGATTACTTTGAATCCCCTGGAAGGTACAGATGGTAATGCCAGATGGTTTTCCCTCTGGGTTCTCCAGCCTTCCTTGCTTCACCCTGTGTCTCAACCCACAGGTGACACTCCACTGAGACCCAGGGTGTATATATCAGGCCCATAGCAGAGGGTTCCCTGGGGAAAGACAAGAGGTATGAATGGGAGGATGGAATAAAAAAAGAGGAATCCATCCCTCTTTGCCTAGGTAGCCTCAAGTCTGTAGCATTCCTTTGGGCCTCCAGCTACAAAGATAATCTTTCCAGGTGACCTTGGCCCCTGAGCCTAATACCACCCTCTGTCTCCCCCCACCCCCACCCTGGGGCAGTCCTGGCATCTTGCTGTTGCTCAGCTCTGAGCTGCCTTGCTATCTCCTTGTTTTCTTCAGTGCTCATCCGTTTCCTGTGTGATGGATTCCTGAACTGATTTCCTCTCTTCTATATATTTAAAGCAGTTTGTGTTTCTCTGACTGGACCCAAGGGTACATGATATTCGCTCCTTGAGGGGCACCACTTAGCTTGCCTTGCTTACTGCTATATCCTTGTGTGTAGGAGAGTGGCAGGAAAATATTAAGAAACCAGAGAAAATGTGCTAAATGCATGAATGAAAAATATTACAGGTGGCACACACCTGTAATCCAGCGATTCAGGAGGCTGAGGCAGGAAGATGACAAGTTCAAAGCCAGCCTCAGCAACTTAGAGAGGCCCTAAGCAACTTAGCAAGACCCTGCCTTAAAAATAAATAAATAAACAGGACTTGGCATGGGCCCCAGCAGTTAACTCTCTCAACGTTCAAGCCCCAAGCTCCAGTACCAAAAAAAAAAAAGGAAAAAAAATTATACCTTTCAATCTAGTTCTCAATCTAGAATAGGGAATACACTTTGAATACCACTTTTGTATAGGATTGTTCCTGTATGTAATCCAATCCCAAAATCCATGTTAGGGTAAATATCTACATTAGTGAGCACTAATATTAATATTCAAAATATGTAGGTAACCTGGCTTCCATTGTCAGTTATTATAACCACACTAAATATGTTCCATTAAAGTAAGGAAATTGCAACATATTACTAAGGAATGTTCATTATTACTCAACTAAGTCATTTTTTAAAAAAATGTTTGTTTTAATTTGCTTCTTTTCTAGGTCAAATTTTGAAGAAGGGATGGTTGTAAAATATATTCTCTAATTGAGAACTCATATTCTTTTATTCTTTACAAATAGCACCAGAAAAGGAAGTTCTACAAAATAATACTTAGAAATGCATCAGCTCTCATTCGAGGTAAATGTTCATCCAGATAGAAAAGATTTTCCCCCATACATTAGCACAAACTAATTTGATTACTTTTTGCTGTGAGATAGAGGACTTTATTAATTTGAATCTATGTGTCTAGGAATGGGGTACACTCTATAGGGATGGCGTTTTTAGGTGTGTGGTGTTGTCTACACTGGGCTGTAAATTCTGTGAGAAGAGAATCCACATCTGTATTGTTGCATGGTACATTGCCAACACCCAGCACAGTGCCTGGTATATAGCAGGCACTCAATATCATTGGCTGAATGGAAAAAGAATGAATTATGAGTCACTATGAACTGATTTGGTTTTCATCATAGCTCATTTTTGAGAAAATTTTTGTCTCATTAATTTTTCATAGCTCACATATTTCCATCTTCCCACAATACTTCCACTTTTTGGCAGAAAAATCTTTTATCTAGCAAGGATGGAATAAGTTGGCAAAGCTCTAATTAACAAGGGGTATGACGACATCAAGTTATTAAACTGAGCTGCATTTCTGAGGGCTTGTGCAATAGCACAATCATATCATTTCTTGTACTAAATTGAAATACATTTGGAGTTCTTTTATTTTTCTCCTCACCCTCAATCCATTGGCAAATCCTATAGACTCTATTTTTAAAATGCATCTTCATCAAATTGTGTGCATGTATAAATAAGGCATAATGAATCCCACTATTATGCATAATTATAATACACCAATAAAAATTTGTATTAATTGGGACTGCAGTGCACACCTGCAATCCCAGCAGCTTGGGAGGCTGAGGTAGGAGGATCACAAATTCAAAGCCAGCCTCAGCCATTTAGCAAGGCCCTAAGCAACTTAGTGAGAACTTGTCTCAAAAAATAAAAAGGGGAAGTGTGCCCCAGTGGTTAAGTATCCCTGGGTTCAATCCCTGGTACCTCAAAATATTTTTATAAAAGTATCTTAAATATAATTATTTCTCAGTGCCTACTCTGTGCCCACCAAAGCACAAGCCATCATCTTTTTGGATCTAAGCTTTTGCATAAAATTCCTGCTCCTGATATTTCCTTTTGCAGTTTTTTTTTTCTCTCGTAGCAAGGGAGATAAAAGAGAAGAAGAAAGAGAGAAAGGTAGAAAATTAGATCCCAACACTTAGAATCTTTCATGACTTTCCAAAAATTTTAGAACAAATTCCAAATTCTTTGTCCTACATGATCTTCACTGCCGTCCTTCTCAAAGACTCCTCCTCTTTCACTGGGTTCAGATTCAGCAGTTATTAAAGAAAGTTCTAGCAAATTAACTTAGATAAATTCATACAAGATACATTGTTTTTTGTTTCTTTGTTTATTTACATTTCAATTTTCTACATTTTTCCCCTTTATTTTGCCTTGTCTTTCCCAGGAGAATGGAGGCCCCAGGATGGCAGAGAATCTTTGTTTAGCTCAAATGTCCTGGGGGAGGAGTCCAAGGGCCATTCAGGTGGCCTATCCCATACAACAGCTTCCCAGGCTGTTCCTTGAATTTCCAACCTGGAGTTGGCACTGGGAGAGGTGAGCATGAAGGGGCTGACTATGGGGAACCTGTCCCTCCTATGCAATGGTACTGCTGGCCCTATCTGAAGCTTGCTTGGGTATCGAGGTGGCTCAGTGAGGGATAGCTTCTCCTTGCTCTGGGGCATGCCTGAGTCTTTGGTATCCAAGTGCTATGGAGTCTGAAAACTATGTTTAAAATATACAAAACAGTGACATTTTTTTGTAATGAAGAAGGAAGAACATTCTCACACCAGTGTCTTTATTGTCTCTGCCTAGAATAGTGTTTCCCAAAATCTTTTCTATTTTTGGCCTATATTATTTTCACATCATTCAGGTGTCTGGTGAAAGTTTACCATTGTAAAACCTCTTCTTCTGTACACTTTCTAAAATAATGTTCCTTTTCCCCCTCTGAGTCCCTGTGCTTTTTCATACGGATATACTTTGAAATTGGGTATTTATTCATGGGCATGCAGTACTCACTCTATGACTTGTGTCCACGGTAGAAGACAAATAGCTCTAGGAAAGGTGGAGAGTGTGTCTTGCCCACTGCTGTATCCCAGGGTCTTGAGTAGCACCTAGCAGAGAGCAAGTTCCCTGTCAGAGTGTATTGAATGAATGAAACACCAAGTACTAACCAGGCCAACTTGAGTATAAAAGAAATTCACCTCACCAGTGTCTTTTTCTGTCTTAAAGTCCTCCTCAGTGGATCCATGCCACCCCAGATAGACACACATGCTTCCACACTCAAGAAGTCAGTGTGTTGCTGTGTTTCTTACACCTCCATGAATGAAAGGATCCTTTCTGTCATTCATTCTCAGTGTGATACAGATGATTTAAAATCACTTCTGGGGTTTTAGTTTCCAGGCTTATTCACTTTTTAATATGATCTGAAGCTCAGAATAAGAAACTCTTAAATGTAGCATTTAATGACTCTTTTATCATTTATAATAGTAACATATTGGAAACAATCGGAATATCTATAGTTAGTAGTTTATTTGACTAAGATGTAGTTCAACACATATCACAGAGAACTATGCAGTTATTAAAGAAAGAGGGGAAGATCTCTGCAAATTAACAGTGACTTCTAGGCTATCTTGTTTTAAAAATGCAAAACAGTATGTACAATATGCTACTTTTTGTATAAGAAGAAAATTTGGAAAGTACATATATATATGTGTGTGTGTGTGTGTGTGTGTGTGTGTGTGTGTGTTTGTAAACAAAAACAGAAAAGATAAATAAGAATCTAATGAAACTGACTCCTCACAAAGGGTAGTTGAGAATAGAGGAAAAGGCACAGTAGAGGGATTAGCCATTTTCTACCTGAGAACCTGATTTTCGGATAGTTTTGATTTCTGGAAACATGTTCATATTTTACATATTCAAAATTTAAAATTAAATCAGCAAGGATAAGAAAACGGTGTCAAGCATGTACAAGCAGAAACAAAAGAACCTAATTACAATTCAAAGAAATAACAAATCCACTTGGAAGGAATGAAAGAAATCATTGAACCAAGTAGCTTTTGAACACAGCACTTAAATTATAAGTCCTCATCTTAAAAGCAAAAAGAACTTCAAACAAATCTTGAATATTGCCTAGAAGGTTTGTTTCTTGTATACCAGGACAGGTATGACAATTCTCCTGTGTGATATGCACTACAGGATTGACCTAATGAGTAAGTATGGTAACGTTCTTGGAAAACAGTTCTTACTGTGAGAGAAAAAAAGATACAAATAAATAATGTTGGAAAAACAATTAACACCTTAGTGTTTATTTCAAATTAGCATCATAAATTCATGATTTCACATGCATACATATTCATACACACATTTGTATATAATGTACTAACAATCTTAGTGTATGTACATATATACATATATCAGAATATCTGTACATATGTGTATACATATATGCCCATATACATATAGATAACTTATGGGTCATATACAATTCCTTTAGTTCCCAATTCTGTAACCTGAAAAGACCTGAAAGAAATATCAGTAGCATTGACAAACCCAGGGCTTATATCTGGATTTATAAATATCATTCTTGAAACCAGGGCTCCTTGGAAAAATGGCTGATTCCCAGCTGGGGCAGAAAAAGTATAAAATTAGCCAAGAAAAATATTATGGCACAATGTATGCCAAAGAAGGATTGGAACATGTCAGAAGGATGTAAGACTCAATTTAGAGGGCTCTTAACAATATTGGATCACAGTAATTGATTGATTGCAACCTATCAAATAAAGTAGAAATTTATTGCTTCTTACTGCTAATAAATAAAGTAAAAGGGAAGTCTCTTCTTATAACAGAATACCAAATAGTGTAGAAGAAATAAGAAAATTTTTAAAATTACTATCGTGCAATCATCAGTAAAAGTCATCAAAAAATTATATAACATTGTGGTGCTGTTATATATAGTTTGTATCTAGAATGTTCCCCCAAAGAGTCGGTCCCCCAATAATGGGACTATTGGGAGGTGGTACAAACTTTAGGAGGTAGGGCCTACTTGGAGGAAGAAGATCACTGGGAGCATGTCCTTGAAAGCCAATGGTATCCCTTGTGCTCTCCCCCATTCCTGCTCTCTCTGCTTCCTAGGTGCCATAAGGTGAACAGCTTTCCTCCACCACACTTGCACACCATGATATATGGGAAATGACATGAGCTCACCACAGGCCCAGAAACAATGGAGCCAGCCAACCGTGGGATGAATCTTCTAGAACAATGAGCTAAATTAAATCTTTCCCTCTCTAAGTTGATTTTTCTCAGGTATTTTGTCATGGCAATGAAATGTTGACTAACACAGGTGTAATTCATGGTGCTGAATCTGATGCCGGACTGGAGAAAGTAATTGAAAGAACATTTAAAAGCAGTTGGAAAAATTTAAATATAAAGTGGATATTGAATAATACTGTTACATCAACCTCAAATTTCTGAAGTTTGACCATTTTCTGTGATAATATAGGAAAATGTCCTTTTGCTAAAGAGATTTTTAGCTAAAGTGTTTATGGACAAAGGATTATGATGTGCACAAAAATACTTTAAATAAAATAGAAACAGATAAACAGTAGGAAATACAGATAGATGAATCAAATGTGGCAAAATGTTATGACTAAACGGTAAAATACACATAAAATTTTAAAATGATTCTCAGAACTGTAGTATGAGATTACAATTATTTCAAATAACATAAATTACTTCAAAATAAATCATTTTTAAAATTAGCACTCCAGGCATTATATAGTGAGGGAGAACATTGATTATTGGCAGAAGAGAAGATATTGATAGAATATTGATTCATTTATGTATTCATCCCATATTCTATTGCAGGAATATATGCAATAAACTAAAAATAATTTTAATGGACAAAAATAATGACAGTATATAAAGGTATGGGGTTAGAGAGCATTTATAATTTAAGTAAGTAGTTAGAAGGGGCCTTACTAATAATGTCTTGAGTACCAACCTGAAGAAGTTGAAAAAGCAGTAGAGGTGTTCGTGCTGAACATGCAATAATAGAGAATATAGTAGCATTCTGGTAATTGTTTAAAAGTCTCTCCAAGGGATGAGAGGAGCTGATTTTTATATTTTGCCAATTCCCCTGGTGTAAATACTCTCACCTTGGCTGATTTCCAACTACCACCTGTTTGAGGACTAGTTGGCATATCTCCTGACAATTTCATAATCTGCTCTCGAAAGCCAAGCTGGTAGGCGTCTAACCCAACACAGAATAAATAGAAGGTGCCAAAGCCCTGAGGCAGGAGATAAATGCTGTGCAAACCAAATTTGAGGCCAATGAAAACAAAGAAGAAAGGAGCCAATGTCAGAGCATAGGGGCTGAGTTCAGACAAGTAACAAGAGGCCTGGTAAAGTGAACTGAGAAGTCATTGGAAAAGTTTGATCAGGGAAGTGACCTGACCTGATCTGATCTCTGACAAGATCACTGAGACTACTGTCCTGAAAACACTGTGGGCCAGGAGGAATGGAAATAGGGAAACACAATGTTACCGTAACAGAGAAGAAAGATGGCGGTGCCTAGGACTCGAGTTCTAGCAGTAGAGGTGGCAAGAAGCAAGGTAAGTTAGGGTATATTTTGAAGCTCACTGCATCTCTTGGAGGGTCAGATGGGGGAGAAAAATGAGAGGTCAACAATGAGAAGTTTTTGAAATTATTTATCAAAAGAATGGAATGGACGTTAGCTGACAAATAGAAGACCATGGGAGGAACAAGTTAGAGGAAGTTGGATTTCACACACGGTGAATTTGAGACCCTAATGGAGAAGCCAGTAAGCAATACCAGGACAGATCAAGCGCTGCAGTGGGCCAGGAGGAGCAAGCACAGATCCAATGGCAGCACTTTTCACTGACAGGAAGTGTGCATCAACCCACCAATGTCATGTGTTTATTCTTTTTCTTCTTATACTATGGCATTCACCAAATTTCAGTACAGAGTATATAAAATGGAAACTAACGCAACACACTTCTAAGCATATACCAAATGGAAAGTTAAAACTGATCACACACACACACACACACACACACACACACAAATCCTCATTTTCTGAGGAAATCGAAAAGAAAATATTTGAGTTATTTACATTTTGGGCTATCCAAAATTGAGCATGCAGAGTATAAATGTCAGCTATAAATCAACTACCACCACAATTGAAAAATTCTTTTTCAGTAATAGTACCGTAAATGTTTCAGAATTTGTATTTGCAAATAGCATCATATTCATTCATTTTCTCTCAAGTGAGTGGATATGGTGAACATACAGGTGGCAAAATATTTGCCTATTGGACCAAGGGTACAGAGACTTTTTAATGAAATTTCTGAGTCTGTGTTTCAAGGCAGAATCTGTTCTTTTTTTAACCATTAGATTTTTTTTTTTTTTTAAAAAAAGGCTTACTTCTCCAGCTAAAATGGCTTGAGAGATGATCAGCCGTGACTAGGGAGGAAAGAAAGCCAAGTTTCCAGTGTGCGCGTGCACATTTCTTTTGCTCATAATTAATAGCCCCCGTGCTTGCTAAGGTTTTGGAAAGCAGCTAGAAGCCTACCCAGGTAATGCCTTCTGACAACGTTTTAAAGATCAGTTATGTCATATGGCTGCCTTTTAGAAAAAAAAAAGTCATAATGCATAGCTGTGCCATATGGCATCTCTGAAGAATCAGCCGGATTGGACAGACATTCATTGGATAAGGTCCCACAGCACTTGGAAAAGAATGTAGTCCTGTTGCCAAAATGTGGCCTTTGTTAATCTCCTAACTATTATTGTGCAGAAACCAATTCATCTGTATTAATTATAAACAAATTTTAATTACTTCAGTAAAAGCCCATTATACCAATATCTGATGCCAAACAAGCTGTATTAACTCTTTGTAAGTCTCCAAAGCAAATACGAGGTGTTGGAACGTAGGTGTTTTATACGAGACAGGAATTTCTCTGAGTGTAAAAAATGCAGTTCTGACATTTAGTTTTCCAGTTCTCTTAAGAGATCCCATGATGCTTTTGCTTTTTGCAGACAATATCAAAAGGCAACTGATGAACGTAAGTTGTGAAAGACAGATCATCCCTAATGT